ACCAAATAAGTGAACCAAAAAACAGTGTATAACATAGCCAAATAAATGAACCAAAAAATTGTGTATAACACAGTCAAAAAAGTAAACCAAAAACAGTGTATAACACAGTCAAATAAATGAACCAAAAAACAGAGTATAACTAAATAAGTGAACTAGTAACAGTCTTACCCTTTGTATGTTACACTTTTCTATATTAGAATGTGAGAGTAACACAGTCAATATTTAGGATTTACACACGGGGTTATTCAACAAGGAATAAACATTTTGCATGCCTACACACTATATTATTACCCCCACAACAACACTTTATAAACAGAATATACAGTTCTGTCTCTAATGGTCAACTATTCTTCACTTTGTTGTGGTAACTAGTATGTTGTTACACTATATTGATAATTTTGTTATACTTTTATGTGTTACCTTTTCTATGTTACACTTTTTATATTACACTATGATAGTAATACATTCAACATTTAGGATTTACACACATTGTAATCATACATAATTACACAAAAAATAATAAACAACTGCATCACTGAACAACCTGGGTAATTAATATTCACAATACAATAATGTTTTAAAACAAAACAAAACATTCAGTGTAATTTTAACAATATAACAAAATAAAAGTGTATCAAAATAAGTGTAGCAACAAAAATGTAGCAATAATACCTAGGTTACAAAACACAACACAAACACCAGTTATATTGCATTCAAACAAACGTATATATGCATATGTATTCAATCAACCCAGTTCAGACCTATATTCAAGCAATTGAAAAAAGAAATTATTAAACTTATAACATCCAACATTTCATTGCTTTTTTTTTTTATAATATGAACACTCTTATGGTATAATAAATACATAATGTGAAGGCTTTTGACAAAAACCAACAAAGATTTTACAAATTTGTCTTTCAATCTTCAAACGAACAAAATAGGGTTCCAATACATGAATTTAAACAAGAAAAAAAAAAGTAATGTAACTCATGATGATAATACCCAATAAATAAACAAGAAAACAAGTGTAATGTACTGAATTTTGAATGGGTAACCCATTATGATTATACACAATATATCTATACATACATACATACATATACATATACATTACCTATGACGAAGGTTAACAAACTCAACGACTACAGTGAAAACAACAACCAACGAACATAGTGGAAACAACGAGCAACAATCACAGTAACAATACTGAAATTCAAAAAAACCCTCTTCAAATCTCTAAGAAAATCCTCTTTAATCCCTTAGTCAATCGATGAATAATGCACATTCAAAACCCTTTGGATGAATACACAGAGAGTCGATTGAAGAGGAAGATGAATCGGTTTCTGTTGGATGAATATTTAGAGAGGCGATTTTTTTTTGGAAGGCAAGGAGATACAGTTTGATTTTTGAGGAAGATAAATAGATTTTGAATTAATTGAGCCTAAATTTTAGCAGTTATGATAAATGTATTGTTACATTTTTAAGAAAAAAAAATTATCAAAAAAGATATTAACGTCTTTGTATTCAAGTAGTATACTTTTTTAAAATATTTTTTTATGTGTATTTTTTACCGAATAAATCTAATAAGGTATACCGACTTCCAAAGTTAACTAAGGCCCACCCATTAACTTCACTTCTCCAATTAACAAAAAGAATTAGCTTTGCTTCATGATTGCTTGACCCCATGTTTGCCGGTGTCACAGATCCGACGTTCTCATTCTAGCTCTCCATTGTAGTTCACCCTTTCAGAGTTTTATAACCTCAGAATTTGCATCCTTCGTCGGACATGTCAACGCAGGTTGCCCTAGAGTAAGCCGAACTAAAAATTTAGGGTTTATTTCGCCATAATGTTATACTCTCTACAATTCAAAATTTTAGGTTTTTCAACTGATCGAAAAATGTGTTTACATTGTCGATGACCACAACTAGAAGATCTAACAGACTAAAGTATGAATTTTTTTGGGTCCCTTCCCTACCAGTAAGTCATTAATAATATTTCCATATAAAGAAGAATCCAACAAATTGTCATATTTCTGTTCTTCTTCTTCTTCTTCTTCTTCTTCGGTGTCATTGACGAATTTTATTTGGCCATTGCTGATGATACTTTCCTAATAATATCAAGTTTTGTAGCTGGGACCCATTTAATTCTTTTTAAACCACGATTGAGTTAGAATTGAAACACCCGTTCCTATTTTTCTGCTATTTTTTGTTGATGAATGGCTAACGATAATTTCCCTATTTACTGGCTTACCATAAAGAATTTTCCTGTGATATCTGATTGGATATTTTTCTAACCCACTCTCCAGCTGGGTTTCAGTTAATCCATGCACGAAGGCAACAGGAGTACTGTTCATCCGGGTCAAGAACTAACCTGGTTGGGATTTTCGGCCAGCTTTTTCACTCTCAAACGAGGGATATATGGGACGCAATAAAATTTTATCCAGTGCTACTAGTTTTATAGCTTTTTAACCCACAACCCAAAAACCATTACAATTTTTCTTCAACTCCGATTCTAACGGAGGGAGGCAGAGTCGAACAGAAGTCAAAGTTTTGGATTCTTGCATACCCCTAATTAAAGCATCCTCCTATTAGTTTATGTCACTTCTGTAAGGGCAAATGACAATTTTAGAATTTTCAGCCCAAAAAATCTTCACATTCTAATTTTAAAAATTTTAAACAAAATTTTAAAATTATATCCTTAATCTATATACTACTACAAAAATATCAACATACATGAAAATTTTTTGAATTACTAATTTATCCTCAAACAAAAGACTAAAATCAGTTGATTGACTTTAATATCTTCTCTAATGGTAATAATTGATTAGTATTTTTCATATCTTAACTAATAGTTATAATCTATACTGAGGTCACTTAATAGTGAAAAATTTTGGTTTTTAATTTTACACCTAATCACCACATGAAGCCAATTTCATGCTCTCTTTTTTTGGCCCTATAGTTTCAATAAGCCCTAGATCCCTAAGAAACTTAAGGCATCAATCTTGAATATTTATTCAACATCACAAATTGAAGAAGAGGTTTTTGTTTGGAACCACAAAACCCATTGAAAGAATGTGCATCCTGAGGATCTTGGCAGAGAAGATTGCTCAAAGAACCTAAACGGTCCATTGCGGTAGAAGCATTCAAGTGAAGGTAACCATAACTCTGGTGGGACAATCCGGAGGAGAGGTTTATTGAAGAAAATGAACGTCTAAACATGATATTGATTGAAGTATAAGTTTAGAGTACTTGTAAACTGACTTTGGGTTATTGGATTAGGTTTTGGTGAACGCAATTTTTTCGAAGTAGGGTTTTTGCGTTAACAAATTATTCTTATTCTTTACTTGCTTTAATTTGTATATACACTTGCAATTTTGCACACACGCACACTATGTGTTTAATAGTTTGATTGTTAATCATTCAATTTATTGCAAAGGGGGTCATGTGAGTTTTGCCTTGGTTGGGATTGTTGTTGTGAGTTTGAGTGTTAATTGAATAATTGCATATCAATACATCGACTCATTTGATGGGGGTATAACAGTTTGTAAACAGGGTTCAAACACCTAATTGACAAATCATTCATTGAATTGGTATTCGGTAATTGTGGTGGTTTAGGTTAAAATTGGTGGTTGTTTGAATCAAAATTGAATTGACCTATTTATCTCCTCCAAATTGTGTCTTAATCCCAAGTATATAATTGTGAGGGACATGGACAATCTACCGCACATCGCATTTTCCCACAAGTAACAATAGTTTCTTACAATGGCAGCTGTATGGTTATGCAAGTGTTCAGCTATTAAGCACTACATGGATGATGTATCATTATTTAGCAAGAGAGTAATAATCAAGAACAGAGAAATTGTGTTGAAGTGTGTGTCCTTTCTCTCAACTCATGTTCACTTGAGATTCTTTAAGCTTCACCCCGAAACCAGACTCCTGATGCAGAACAAAAGAAATTTCGTTCTTTTGGTTATCTCTAGTGGCTCCATATGATAGTCACTGCCCAAATTGAACCTAGTACCACCATCCAAGATTGGACCTGGTAATCGCAGATAAGAGAAGCCAGAAGCTCTCTTCTGGCCGAAAGAAATAAAAGATTGAACGCTGTGAAGTTCTAGACGTCAAGTCAGAAATCAAATTTGTAGATTCATTGAAAGTGAAGAATTCCACACCGAGACAACCAGAACTTAGTGAAGTCCTAGACGAGAAGTTGGAAGTCAGTTCAGATCACAAAGGATTCATGGAAAATGAATAGAAAAAAACAAGCTGAACTGATTGCAGAACAAAGTTCACAAAAGAGTAATAGCAAGGGTTAGTTTGGTACCCATGAAGCAGTGACATAGAGGCTTGGATTCCGGCTAGTTAAGTCAGATCAGAACTCTTTCCTGCTAGTGGTTACTCATTTAGAGTGCAACCTCTGCTGCTTAGATGGAACTCATTATTCAAGGGATGCTACCATGGAATTCAGTTCCATATTATTATCCTACCTGTCCTTTCCCAGCCCACAATTTCCACTAACTCACAAAAATTGAATGAATAAAATCACCAAACTCACCAAATAGTTTATCAAATGAATGTGAATTATTAGATTACTAGGTCTCATTAACTAGTTCTAGGGGAACTCACTGATCTAACGGGCAACATCATTTGATAAACTATTCGGTATACACATCATTCTAATCTTGACAAATGACACAAGACTATACACTATTGAAACACCCTCTATAACTTCACTAACAAATGGCCTAGACACTGTTACAAAAAAGGTCAGAAATAAATGTCAAATAATCCTGCATTCATAGTTGCTTGTATATACAGCCAAGCACCAATTGAAAATGTAACTGTCTTAAAAAGTAGTTCCCAAGCTCGAGTATACAACATTGAAATTTGTCTGTTCACCACCCCCCCTCCCCAAAGTGGACAATGTTTTTCTATTTGTTAAAAGCCTCCTTTCACTATTTATTCTGACCTGATTGAGCTAGGAGTCTAGAATCCTGTGATTAATCTTCCTTATCTCCTGATTGATGATGTTCTCTGCTTTCCTGAGACGTGGAGCGGCTTGCATGATCTGCCTCGGCCCGAGTACCAACCCTCAGAGGTTCCTCTTTAGTGATGGTCTGAATAAGCATCATTACAGCAACCACAAAAACAATAATGTAAATAGCTCTGATTCCAATCAATGAGTTGATATAACCAATCAGTGAAGGACCGCTAATGCGCTTCTGGATCACACTTCCTTCTCTGTATCGTTCAAGAAATTTAGTGATTTGGGACCCTTTATCCAATTCGTCAATACTTTCTGAACCAATAACCTATCAGAGATAGGAATGTAATATATCAGTGTCATGTCAAGTTTAAAGCTGCCAGCAGGAGGATTAAAAAACTATGAAAATCATGTGGAAAACCAAGTAAATAATATCTATAATAGTGGAATGCCTAATTTCTCTTCCAGTATGCGCATCCATCAACAGGCATACATGTTGGATGCTTAATGAGAGACGATCCTGTCCAAATATATCATGCATTCGATAAAATCAACTCTACTAGACATGCCCAACTAATTGTTTTACGATACTATCAAGGGATTACCTTGTCCTTACTCAAATCCTTTATAGGCCAAAGACTAAGTAGAAAACTATGCAAACACAACATCTAAAAGGAGAAGATGGATTGACAGGTGTTATTCTTATTGTTGGCACTTGTTACCACAGAGGGAACAAAAAAAGAAGGAAAGCAAGCACACATATACACACACAGGGAGAGAGACAGAGAGAAATATCTCAAAAGAAAGTGCCAACAGAACTTTATTTTTGATCAACTGTACCTACAGACAATGTTAACTAGGGAAGACTGTATAGCTTCCCATTTGAGATTCACCTTCGAAATAACACCATCAATGGATCTCCATGTTGTCTAAAATTGCCACTTGTCAAGCAACTTATAAAAAAAAGCATCACGATCGCAGCTAATACTAGAACATTATTCTGTGAACTCGAGGAATTATACCTGGACTTCCATAGTAATCACCTTTTAAGGTATGGTACAGCATCACACATGGTGACCAAGACAAAATGGTGACAAGTAAACTTGGGCCAATTTTGGGTAACAGATGATAATTTTTGAAATACACAGATTTCTGTTTGGACTTACTGACCCTAAAACATGGTCCAGAAAATGAAAGTAAGCCCTACAAAACATACACCCAAGAAGGTATTTGACTCTATGACCAAAAAGCAAAATCACCAAAAATGCCCTTGACATTAAAAACTTGAAATGCATGATTAAAATCATTCGATTATCACACTAATTCAAAACCAACATTTTTAAAGCCCAACTAACTAATGTCTTTTCGACCGAAACGCAGTATTGAGTGATGTGGGACATAGGCTCCAAAATGGATGCCTCTTTTCTTTGTAGGGTGTTCATAGGTTAGTCGCTTTGGTTTAGAGCAAAACCCAGAACAGAGACGACCGAAATAAATCTATATTTCTAACCTAGAACTGCACCCAGGGGTCCATTAGACCAAGCCAAATCAAATTTACCCTACACAATCAAGTTTCGCTGGGTTGGTGTTTGGCCTAACGATAAGATGACAAACAAGAAAGATAAGGTGTTTATCCCTTTTTATACTGGTCCAAGAGGGAGTCCTTTCCTTTCACGGAGGGTACAGATCTCAACAGGTAAATGCACCTTCTCTTGCTTTATCACACATCAGCCATGATAGACAAACACCACCTCTCCTCCAACATTAAAGGGGATAAAATCCCACTCATCTATTCCCTCGAAGCTTATTCCTTCAACATGTAGTGGAGGCAGTACCTTCTTTCATCCACTATAAAAGTATGAAAAGATAAGAAAATATTGAATTGCATGCACACGCATATACACACTTTGTTCTTGGATTGGTTCGTTTTACTCAAACCCTTGAACCATTCCAATCATTTCTCCTAGGCCTGAGAAAACCAAACCAAACCAACTCAACTCAAGGTGCATGTGGATGGGATATGACATCACCGTGTTTCACAGTGATTGGAATACGACAGCACCTCACCATATCATTACAATCCGTAGTTGCCACTTGCCAGTAAGTGTGTATCACTGCCAGCAAACAAGTTCATTCCACAACACGGTCTTATCTCAAATTCCTTATTGCCTGCTTCCAATGAAGGTGAACTAGTCATTTTTCTTTTTCAGCAAGTGAACTAGTCATTATTTATTTTAATGCATATCATTATTTTCATAATATTGCATTTTAGCAACGCTTCCATTTCTACGGTAGCAAAACAATGTGGTCACCTTCAGCAATTTATCAAACTCCACCACAAAAGATACAGATTGAAGGCCCCCCACTAGTGTGTTTAGAACTGTCATGTCAGAGACTCGGAGCACATTGATCCATTATCCATTTGGGGTTTATGAATTCGTCTGCTTATAGGTATGCGTTTTCATATTCATTAGCAATGCCACACCAAAACAAGAGAGATAATACACATATCAACCTTTCTTCAGTTGGCCAAGTGATGTAGACTAGGAAGGGGAAGAATTAGGGGATAAGAAGAGAAGAAGAAGGGGATGAGAAAATCAAGAGAAAGAGAAGGGAACTCGGGGAGTTCAATAATAAACAAAAGTGTTCCTCAATAAATACCACATCCCCTATATATATATATGTATGGAATACAAACCCTTCCAAAAGGATTGTTTATTGGGCTTGATTTTGAGGCGTAGTTTTCCACTCTATTTTCAACTATATATATAACAAGGAGTGGAGCTGGAGAATATCACCCCCCCCCCAACCCACCCACCAAGGCGACTTCATTTGCTCTACGACAAACAAATAGTAAAATGAAAAAAAACAACTCCTAATCCCTATGTCTAGGCCTATTATAACGAAATACAATCCGATTCCCATCACCGAGGCAACTGAGCAAACACTTGATTCAAAATTTAAAGTTGTAGATTGCAAGGTCATATTTAAAATATCCATTGCTACTTCTGAAACTTCTATGAAAAAAAATGCTAATCAAATAAATATTCAATAATTCTCTGGAAGACAAAAAAGAGGGGAAGCTTTAACTTACTGAGAAGTACTCCTCATCCCCATCCCAAACAATCATTTTTGGCAATTTAGTTTTCTTAGTGACACCAAACGATTCAATGAAGTCTTCCCACTGCTTGATCCCAACATAACCAAATACTAAGTCACGGTTTGCAGATGCAGCAGCCTTCAAAAGTTTGCTTAATTCCCTTGATTTCTCATCTGCCTCATCCTCCATAATTGTCAAAACAATTTTCCTATCATCATCCTTCAACAACTTTAGTGTGTCTTGATTTATGGGCAAAACCAGAGGGAACAAACTCTGCTTTATAAAGTCTTCAAGGAATTTATCTGCATGTTCAAAACAATGAAGGTTAAACAAACCTTTCGGTACATGGCCCATGCCATGTTCAAAGCTACCACAGTAGACAAAATATGGCTAAAGCGCTATCCATGTTATTAGTTGAATAAATGCAATAATAATTATGTAAAAGAAGGCATGCATCCAGGAAAAACCTAAAAGGAAAAGAAGGAAGATATGCCTACTGCTGACCAAGCTTAACCAGATGAAGTATATAATTAAAAATTCATCAATGTTCAATGGCATTCCTAAAAAAATAGAAATATTAACTGAGAAAAACTAATCACAAAACACCATCATGATGCTCATTAAAAGGAGATAGTTACTTCGATAAGCTAGGGAATCTTAATATTCGTTTTCTTTCCTTCCCCTTGCAGGTGGAGTTCTCATGATTCCATTTCATTCTATCCCCTTGCGAACTAGGGAAGCCCACCATCACAACACTTTTTCTCCATATTCAGGCCCTCATGCAACATTACTGACTTGACTCATTTCCATTGGATAGGAGATTCTTCTTGCAATAAGATGGAGAGAAGATTCAAATGGACTGGTTTCAAACCAAGCACATTAAGAGATCTTCATTTTACATTAGGATTAAGATTAAAAAATAAAATTAACACATCTTCAAAGCTATTCTTCCGAGAACTCCTTTCAACAACATCAAATTCATCCATAAAAGATTCCACCATCATTAAGAGATTCTCATTTTCCGTTAGAAGTTTTCATCGTCCATCGAAAATTGAATCCACTAACTTAAGCAGTTTTTTTAGACATCACAGTATGTTCTCCATTCCATGAAAACATTCCTGACAATAGTAAGTGTCAAAACGTCAGTATGCTTCAGCATGATAAAAAGTTTGAAAAGCTATCAGTTTCAGGGGTTTGCAGGGGAATCTTCACTTGGATTACTGATCAAAGATACACTAACCTTCAAAAGGACCATAGAAAATGTACTGTTCATTGTAACTCGGATGAAGGACCACCAAAGCAGGAACCTTGTCAAAATCGTACAAGGCCATAATGTCCTCTGAGAAATCTTTTGCCACAGCAAACCATGCTTTTTTCTTGTACTTGATAGCCAAATTTGATATCATGGACTCTTTCAAACCAAAGCCCACAAATATTGGGAAATGAGTGCCTGCTGCTTCAACAAATTCTCGAATAGCAGAGTCAGAATTGAGAATGGCAACATCAAGAGCAACAAATTTCCTCAAAAATCTAACAAGCAAATCAGCTTTTCTTGGTCCATAATAATCCATGGGAACTCCATGCATAAATATCTTTAAGGTTGGAAACCCACTGCACCACAAAAAGAAGTAAAAAAAAAAAAGATGGCATGTGTTTAGTGGAAATTAAGTGCTAAGAACTCATATGCCAGCAAATTGCAATAACTCAATTATAGCCAAAAGCAGTAACTTGTGTGGAGTCAAATGCAAACTTAAACACCAACATCACAGTTTCAGACAATTTCACATTATTTTTTCAATGTGGAACCCAAAAAGTAAGGCTATGGCAGCATACTCGATATCATATTTAGAAGCAAGACGGGTATACTTGTCAGCATTTACTTTCGCAATTACTATGGGCTGTTTCAGCCCAGCAAGAACAGGGGCAGCTTTGTCTAACTGCAATCCAACAATAAAAGTTGTCAGTCTTCTCATTTGTAATGGCATTCAATATATAAATGATTTTATGAATATCCAAAGTAACAAATACAACTAATATGCAAGCATTCAAGTCAATAACAAGGAACCTCACTAAGCACGAATCTAACAGCGGCCAAAAATTAGACTAACTTTCAGTCAACAAGAGTCAACTTCAACGCCTCTCAAGTGAGAGGGAATTGCCCAACAAATTCGGATCCTCTCATTCCCTCACACCTAGCATGAAACCAAGTGAGAGCTATTACATTTAAGTGGATCCCTCGCCAATTCACAGTGGATGAATTAGAATTGAGGAATTGAAAATTTTTATTACTGGAGAGAATCATAATCTCTGCCCAAATGAGACGCATTTTGATTCAAATGCTTTTCTTTCATGTGTGTAACCATGAAAGAATTGATATCTCAAGACAATTTGAAACTTTATGCTAGGCTCACTAACCACGCTTTCATAAACAATTTACACTTCAATATAAGAAGATATGTGTTTGTGTGTGTGCGTGCGTGCGTGTCCACGAATACATGGTCCATAATGCTCAAATCAGAACATAAGAGGCACAAACTCTCTTATGAAGGTCGCGTCAAGTATCGAATGTCAGACATGTGTCGGACACCGAAACGTCTCAAATACTCTAGCATACATGTCCAATACTCTTTTATCTGTATCCATATCTAAAAGATAAAATTTAAATTTTAAACACATGTCCGACACTCCATTGTTGACATGTTCAACACATCTTTAAGTCATGTCTACTTGGCATGTAATTAAGAAAACTTAAAAAAATGAAAAATGATTCTTATACTTATGAAAGGATTTTAAGTGTTAAAACTAGTCATGCTAAAATGGTACTCAAAATTTACTAATAAAAGCAAAAGATGGACAAAATAAGCGCAATGATTGTAACTAGGTCTATTTGCTACACAATGTCCATAAAAAATCGATGATTAATAGCGATTACGATCATTTTTTTCTAAAAATTTAGACTAGTTGACTAGGCTAAGATTCAGTTATCATAAAGTATTGAATTTCTTATAAATTGTACAATAACTTCTCTTATATTTGAGAAAATTAGATTAGTTTGATGTATAAAACAATTATTTATAACTTGTCCCGACATATAAGACGTTAGTCTAATTTTTTTTTTTTGAGAAATATTGTATCAAAGTGTTTGTCTCGCGTTGTATCCGTCTCTCCGGCATCCGTGTTTCTTAGATCAGAACATCTAAAAGAATAATAATGCATCTTGGTTCCCCCAATGCCATCCCATGTACAAAAGATGTGGGATAGCCTTCAGCATATTTGGTCTACACTTGCAAGTTGCAACCAAGGTTGTTAAAATGTGTATTGAGAGGTGTATTGTTTTTCAAAAATTGTGAATCGCGTATCGTAACATGTCATATATCGTAAAATACGTGCAATTTTATAAAAGCTTTTTGAAAATGTTTATAATAACATTTCATTGCACAACAAATTTTTCACATAAAATAATTTAAAGAGACAACAAGGACCAAAACAAAAAAATTAACAATTTAAGTATTCCAGTTGCGAGTTCAAGTTCTAACATCTAGAGGAGCTAGAGGAGGACACTTATATCAATAAAACTATTTGCTCATGTGATGGAATGAACAACAAAAGAAGGCTTGTACTTTTTAAGACTCTAGATAGTTAAACAACATTGTTTCACTACCTAGTATTTTACAAAAATACTTCCATGGGAATCGGCGTTATTTTTGGGCTAAACAAAATGATTTGTTTCTCCCGTATCAAATGACTCATTCGTATTGTCTCGTATCGGATGTATCATATCGTGTATCATACGATACGGTGCAAATCCGATACACTTAAGTAATATATATTATTTTTTTTCATGTATTAAAACGTATTGTATATCGTACGATACTAACAATTATGATATGATAGCAACTATGTTCTTATACTAACTCGATCACTTTTTTCGGTAAGTAAATGGAAATCTCAATCACTTTACTATTAAACTACGCAATGAAACTTTTCATACATGATATAGTCCACATAAAGAATCATTACCTAGATTGGTTCTTGTTAATCAAGGTTACTGGGATCGATGGACAGGAGACTGACTCAATCTCTAGTATTGTTGGCACAATGCCTTCATATTCAAACCCATAACTAGATGCTTCAACACAAGGGAATGTCCTTTAGACACAGCGGCAGAACCAAGCTCAAGGGTCTGGGGCACTCTTGTCCCCACTGACATCCCAATTTTAATTGCATTTAACATGTTAAAAGATCATGAACTTTTTAATTTAATACATTCCCCCCCCACCCAAAAAAAAAAAAAAACTACTGCTTTCTTAACCCAGTACAACATAAAATTTATGTTGGAATTGCATAAAATAACGTAAGATGTCTTAACCTATGTGCATATTGATGTATCATGTAAGACAATACATATCATTTATTTAACACATTTAGAAAAAAAATTGTAGAGTTACCTACCATTAATTGGAAATGGTAAAATGCCATAATCCAAAAGAGCCTTTCTTGCTTTTCCAAAATGAAGAATGATTTTATCAAGCAATTTCAAAATATATACACTTAAAAGAGAATTGCTAAGATAATAGACAATTTTAAAATTTAAATGGACAATGTGTGTTCTATTTTGACATATTATTGATATAAATTTTATTTTCATATAGCAATTCAATCCTAAATTTTAGTATACATCTTGTGCTTGAGTTTAGACATTCTATATCAGTTTTGACCATAAGTTATTTAAATTTGTCCCCTCTAATCTGGAATCCTGGCTCCACCCTTGCTTAGACAAAGATACATCTATTACCATTATAAAGGGAGAGAGTGGGGCTTGGTGTCCTCCTATGAAATGTTTTTAATAACCTTAATTTTTTCCAAATAACCACTCATAACTTCCTTTTCAATCCTACTTAACCACCTCCGCTCATGAAATGTCAATATTACCTTTCATTCCTTGTCAAATAGCCACTCATGCCTAACTCACTCTTAGTTTCTTCTCACTCTCATATCTCTCTCTCTCTCTCTCTCCCTATCTCACTACTTTCTGATTATATTCACAAGGGTACTTGTGTGTAGGGTCCTCTAGTTGATAGACATACACCATATTGCTTGGTCAATAATGTAGATTAATGCAAATGCGGATCTCTCAGGGTTCATGAAAACCCAAACCCAAATACAATATCTATGACCGATGTATAGGTTTTGAATTCAAATGTTGTGGAGGCAATTGTACAATAGTGTAAGGTGTAATTGTAGGGTTCTTTTCTATGCCTTGAAGTTGAGGACTTCATATTTCCAAGGCTTTTGCAATTTTTGTTTTAAGCTCGTGGGAAAACAATCATATCGAACAAATGTAGAGAATAAAGCTTTGATTTATTATGTTTTCAGAAGCTCAATTAAATGAATAAGCAAAAAAATTGTTAATTAAAATACAAAACCTAGCAAGATTAGTTTTTTAACATGAGCCTAAGCTAAGGCTGGGAAGTGAGATTCGAAGATTTAGGAGCCTGTGAAGATAGTAGAAACTAATTGTTGTGCAGTAGTGAGTTGTGTGTATAGTTGTTGGAACTGCTGGGAGTCCCTCCTTCCAACACATTTGTTGTTACTTATAGGGGTGGTTGATGGCAATAATTTGTAAGAGTTCTATTCCATGTTGCAACCACTGTCTTCCATTCAAGGATCTCTACAACTGCCCCTTATTTGTTGCATCGCTTAGGTGTTGAGCTGGCACTATCCCTCTGAGCACATGACATATCGACTTTGCTTGCTTAAAGACTTTGTCATTTTGTGTTTTACTGCAGGGCAGACATCCAGATGCCTTAGATGATAGGCATCGATCTCTTCCCGTGTTGCTGTAACTGATACCAATATTGCTCTTTGCTCTCAGCCCATTAAGTTGCTTGCTCATACGGATGATGTAGTTTTAACAGCAATGCTATTCTAACCAAATTTGATAACTCAAATAAGAAGGGGCAAGGAAAATCTAATATCTGTGTGCGCCACATCATTTGGGCAACCAAATTTGATCTCAATTTTTTTAGCATTTTAATACTTTTAGATTCGGTGGTAGATTTTGATTCATCAGTTTGAATTGAGTGTCTAGGTTTCCAATCATTGTGCTACAGTGTCTCCGTGTCGCCATTTCAGGGTTTTATAAATTTGGGTGTGAAAACATATATACATACACATCTAGTTCTAAGATCTTAAGTCAGAAAGTGAAACAACAGCCTTGAAATCGAGAGAGACAGAGAGAGAGGGGGGTTTTGGGAATACCTCGGGGGCAAGGCGCTTGCAGTGGCCACACCAAGGGGCGTAGAAATCGACGAAGATGTAGTCAAAGGAGGCAATGGCGGAATCGAAGTTGGATTCGTCGAGCTCCAACACCGTTCCATCGACTTTGAACTGTTTGTTCGACGAAGCGATCGAAGATGACGACCATAGGAGAAAGAAAGCGATTAAGAGCAGTTGCCGAAGCATTGTGCAGGAAGATTGTTGCGACAAATGTTCATTGACTTGATATGGTCCTCTGCGTCTGCGTCTGCGTCTGCGTCTGCGTAAGGGCCAAACTTCTCTTTGACATCTAAAATTCCGAAAAAGGCCTCAACATTTTGATTCAATCCTTTAATTTAGGACATGATTATCTGCCGAGATGGAATATTTTGGTACAATTTGGAAATTAATTTTGACCATTAACTTTAATAAGATCAATTACAATCATTGATCATCATTAACTAGATCACGATTACTGCCATTCCATAGTTTGATTAGATTTAAAATTCAAACACGAATAACATTATCTATTCAAAAGCGCTTATAACATTACCTAAGTTCTTTTATATGCCTTAGTGATCAAAGATTTAAACAATTTTTAACTAACAACGGAATGAACTAGAATGTAAAAAGACAACTGGAATATAAAATAATAGAAAGATTGAATTTTATAAATAAAAAAATTATTGTATTTAATATTAAACTGAAAAGAAAATTACCGGAGTGACCAATTACATGTCAAAAGAAATTTGTAAGGAAATAAACTAATTAAAACAAAGGTTGCCTATGTGTAGCGTTGTTGTTTTGACCGAGGAATCCTTTCATTGTAGTCTTGCCTTCGGTATCTATTGAAGATGACCTCTAATAGTCGAAACTATCTTTTTTAGCCATGACTGTAATTATGATCTCTTTCCTCAAGATTCTCAGACGTGCATTGATTTGTCTCCAATTGGAGACTCTTAACGTCACGTTTTCCAGGATCCTTAGAGTCTCACTTCCTTAATCGTCCTGTTAACCTTGGACTTTTACTAACTTTCTCTTGGGTGTTAGATCACTTCCATTTGTCACCTTAAAATTTTACTATTTATGGTGTAAACACTACTCAATCGATTTTACCACCCCAAAAATTGTACAATCACCCTAACAAGTGATATAGTCTACCTAGAGGTTGTATCATCATCTTCAAATAGTAATAAATTCACCTTAAGCGGTGATATCATCTTATGTGATAGTAATTCACCACAAAAAGTTGTATTATCACCCCCAAACGAAGGTAAATTTAACCCAAATAATGATACATTCCCCCAAATTAGTTGCATTATCACCCCAAATGGTGTTATCATTATCCCAATTATTGGTAAATTGACCTCAAATGTTTGTATGATCATCCAAATGGACGTAAACTCATTCAAAATTGCAATAAACTCGCCTTAAAAAATGGTAAATACAATTGTAGTATCATCTCCTTAAATGATGGTAAATAACCCCAAGTTACAACAAGCAGACCGAAATTGTTGTAATTTCACCCCTAAAGGATTTTAGCATAACACTAAATGGTAAACGCCAGACCCTAAATGGTATAAAGTTGGCCCCAAAAGGTTGTAACATGACTCCAAATGGTATGAACTTGACCTCACATGGTAGTAGTTTAAGAGTAAGAACTTCCCATCAAATTGTTGTAACTTGACTTCCAAATGATAGTATTTTAACTTCAAAATAAAAGAATGCACTCTAAGTTATCGTAACTTAACCTCAAATAGTGTAATTTTTGCTCAAATGATAGTAACTTTATCCCAAACAGTCAAATTTTTGTCATAAATGATAGTAACAAGAACATAGATGACAGTAAATTGACTCAAAAGGGAATTATTTAACCCTAAATAGTAGTTAACACCCCAAGTGGTAGTAACATCTATACTACTAATGAATATACCTTAACATAAAAAAATTTGATTGACTATTTTACACTTTATAAAGAATTATAAAGACCCTTATGCTCTTTTATATTTAGAATATTGAGATTATCACCATCTCATTATGTGTTTATATCTCAAAATTACCTTATAACATATCCTTTAATTTTAGAATCTACATCTATTATCTATTACATATATGAATGTTATTATTTATGAAAAATCTTTTCATTGATTGTACTCAACTCAACAAAGTCTTGTTTCAATATTTTTGGAGTCGATTATATGAATCATGTTTCGCCATTAAACTTTATTAAGGGTCATGTTTTCAGTTAAACCATAGGTTATCATATCTGTTTTTACTATTTCATTTAAAATTAATTTTTATCTTCCTTTGCGGTACATTTACCGCAAATAACTATTGTATTACTCTTTCTCATCAGTGTCATATTAGGTTGCCTATAAATATGTACAAACCACCTAAATTAATTCTCTCCTAACTTATCTCATATATTTGCTACCTCTACTTTTTCACAGATATATTCGTTTTTAATTCTATATTTTTTAGTTTTACCACACATCTATCTTAACATTCGTATTTCTGTCACACACAAGTTTTGAATATGGTGTTTCTTAGTTGCCTAACACTCAGTACCATGAAGTATGGCGGATCTTATGGCTATTCTATAGAATTTTCCTTTTAGTGTAAGGGGTATACGTTTATCAAAAAATACACTGAATGCATTCCTCCATTTAGTACATCTTGCATTAATTCTATGCATAACGTCATTGTCAATCTCACACTCTCTATAAATAATAGACCCTAAACATTTAAATTGTTCCCACTTTGGTATCTCTTGATCTTCAATTTTTACTATTTCTTTGTTTTGATTTCTTCTTTTTCTAAAGTTACATTACATATACTCAGTTTTAGTCATACTTAGCTTCTCACCAAATTTATAGTTAATTATTAATTCCTTATTTACTTTCATGAACTAGTACATGTCGTCTACAAAAAGCATACACCATGAGAGTTCATCATGAATGTTCTTAGTCAATTCATCCATAATCAATGTGAAAAAGAAATGGACTTAAAGCATAACCCTGATACAAATCTACATAAATTGAGAATTCATTAGTCTCCCTTGGCGTTGTTCTCATTAATAACATCAATATCTCTCTTAGAATTCTATCATATGCCTTCTCTAAGTCTATAAAAATCATATGAAGGTCTTTATTTTTTCTCCCTATACCTCTCCATTAGGCTCTAGAGTAATTATATAACTTCTATTGTTGATCTTCCAATCATAAATCCAAAATAATTCTCAGAAATCGTTGTTTGAAACCTTAATATTTGCACGATCACCCTCTCCCAAAGTTTTATTATATGATGCATTAGTTTAACACCTCGATAATTTGTACAACTTTGTGTCTCCCTTATTCTTACTAGTTCATGCACACGTACGTTGTACGTGGATCAATTTGACTTGCAATTTTAGGTTTATTTTATCCAAATTATCCCTATATTGATAGTTTACTTGCTTGTAACAACTAATTCTAAATAACTTGTGAAGTGGTTTTAGTCCATAGGAACAACACGGGTTGCACATCATTTTGTAGTTTGCTTGCATGTAACAACTAATTCTAAATAACTTGTGAAGTGGCTTTAATCCGTAGGAATGACAATCGGATTGCACTTCATTTTGCTAAACATGCGAGATTTATGGAGAGTTTAATTGCATGAAAAGGAGCAAGCACATGAGTTTGTAATGTCATTCTTATCTCTGATATTCCTTAGGAATAAAACAATTACCATTTTTCTAAAAACAAAAAAATTGAAAAAGTTTCCAAATCATTTAATTTTTTTATCCGAATGGCGTCAAAAATTATAATTTACCTTGTTTATTCAGCAAATAGATCATCAAAAAATACGCACATGTATGCATTTAAATTAAGTTTACATTTTGATTATTAATTAGTTTGTTAAAAATAAGAAATTAATCAATAAAATCTTACATCTTATAGTTCACAAATATCAGTATATAAACAACAAAAATATCTTACAGAAAATTACTTGACTACATATCTACAATAACGTGGCATATAAATCAAAGTAACAAATGCATTAGGAACATTGCATGAAAAATAAAATCAAAAACCAAATAAGGAGTAGTGAACTAAACCACATCTATGGAATTATTGAACTGAAAGTTCAGACCAAAACTCAAAATCAATGCATAAAGGAAGTGTAACATTGGAAACTAAAGAGGGGAAAAGGCAAAGACAACACAAATATAGAACTTTTTTTTCAAAAATTCGTAAGAATTACGTAATACAATTGTACACTGAATAATTTCATCATGTCATATCATTTGTTAAAAAATGGCTTAATTGCACTCGATGTCATAACTATCCCATTGTCTTTTTGAAGGAGAAACTAAGTTGTGTATTAGGAGTATTGGAATGACTTTGTAGGACTTATGCCTAAGACATGTTATCTCATGTGATTTTGTAGGGTGGTCTCATGTCATGTGTTGCTAGACAATCTGACGCTTGAAAAACAATTGTGTAGTGAGAAAATTGAGTTGATGTTCAGTAGCAACACAAGTTTTTACGGCCTATAGTTTATCGATTATACTATAAAACGTGAATATAGACTAAGTGAACAATGAACATGAATCCTGTTCACAAAAAAACAATGAGCAGTCTATAATTATAACCTTTTTTGGAAACAAACACCCTCACACATGTTAAGCGTGGCGTGAGCAATCACCATTTTCATAGTTGCTACAAGAAAACACTCCTGCAAAATAGAATAAAGATTGGGTTGGAAAACAAGAAATTATTAAACAACTTCATCGGTGAGATGACATGTTGATAGGAATATCAGTATTCTTCTTCTTATCCTTCGTTGATCTTCTTCTGTCCAGACCCAAAAGCTCCCTCCTCTTCTTATTATTGTATTTGATCCCAAGAAATCAGAATTAAAAAAGAACACAATATAATGGGGCGGAAGTGAATGGACAGAGGGGGTTTTGACGGTTAGAAGACTAATTGAGTTTATTCTCTCTAGTCTATAGGCAATCAATGCATTAGTGATGAATTGGAATAATGATAGAATTTAGTGGAAACTTAATCGGTCGATAGAAAGAAAAATGGGAGCGATATAGCCATAGAGATGTCTGAACAACTAAATGCCCAATGGAGTTGGAGGAAATGCAAGTGATATAAGATAGTCAAGTCAAATGATATGACTATCTTTATTCTTTTTTAGATGGACAAAATGGTGAATTA